GGGGGGGGGGGGGGGGGGGGGGGGTGTAACAACCACCCCAATGTTTTTTCATGAGCCATTTCTGGAGACGGTTGTATAAAAACGTAATTAAAGTTAACCATAGTTAGCGTTAATACTACAGTCAAATCCTTAACTGTAATTAATTTAACTACATGCCTTAAGGCTACAGAACACCCTTTTTGGCGTTTTGCGGAAAATCGCTACTGCGCGCTCAAAATCAGTCCGATTTTCATCAAATTTTCACCAAATGTTAGCCAGTGCATGCAAAATATGGTAAAATTGTCTAAAATTGACAAACAATAAAATAATTAAGAATTAATCAGGAAAGTCCTAAATTGCGGTGCCTTTACGCTTTTGAGTTGTGTTCCTGCTGGTTTTAAGATATATTTATGAAAATATCATTTTTATAAAGTAAAATAGTTGTTCTAAAAAATTGTTTTCGGAAGTTTTTGTTTATTTCGTCGTTCCGCTGATATGGCTATTTCTTTGACGACTGCAACATATTTCTGAATCGTTTGAGTGAATTACTCGTTATTATTAAAATATCCAAAATTAGAACAAAGCCAAACACGATTTTGCAACTGACGTCTTTAGCTATGTTCTGTTAAAATTTGAGAAAAATTCGTTTTAACCCGCAGGAGAAGAACTCGTTTGAAAATCAGTAATTGCCGTAAAATGTTTCGGGAGAAAATTGAATTTGAATATTACATTTTTCAATGTTTTTCTTTGCAACAAAATGTATTTTATTAAATAACTCTGCGAGTTTTCAACATTTTTCGTTCAAACTTTGTCAGATATTAGGACTAGTCCAATAATTAGCTTTCATGGAAACCAATAACAAAATTTTAGGTAAAATTAACATTCAAAGGGTCCTGTAACCTCAACTGCGTTGCACAAAACGTATTTATACTGCAGTTGGATAGTTAATTAATCACATAGTTAGTTGCTCGTGGAATTCGCGTGGGGTACTTAAACTCAAAAGCACACTAGAAATACTTGCATGCAGCGAACCCTCGCTTTGCTAGCAAAACAACTATATTTTTGCAAACATGAAGTATTTGAAGTGCTTGTCATGGCTATATACATAACCTGAGTATCAGGCCCTTGGTTTTGAAAGAGGGCCTGACACAATTCGCCTCTAATGCCATGTTCAACATCCAGAATCTGGATGTTATGCTGATTGGCTAAGAGACGATAAAACGCATCATGTGATTCAAACCGGAAATATATGACAGGCGTATGTAAACACCAAAAAGAGAATTTGTAATTTTGTCAATATACTGTTAAAAGTGCTTTACTTCTGAAATTTATTTTCAATTAATTAAGCCTAAAAATGACAAAATAAGTACGAAAAGACGTTGAAAACGCTTTTGCAGCAACATTTTACTCGGTATAAAACTAAAACTACATAGTCATAGTAGAAAGCGTGTCTAAATATCTCGCCGTAATAGTCGCCGTAGAACGAAAATATGTGGATGTTGGAAATTTTCCAATATTTAGTTCCAAAAAGCTGAAGCCTTGTTTATCAGTTTATTGCCCAGCTGTTTTCTGGATGGATATAGTAGTCAGCTCGCTCGAACTAATATGCCAACATCAGGCAGAAATTGAAGACAATAGCCGCTGTGTTAGACGCAGTTGAAGCGAATAGCTGTCTCGAATAAACTATTAGAGAGTTTGGGAACGCGACGGGAAGTGGCGATGGCGACGTCTGTGACCGAGCAGGGGCCTGGGAACGAATACGTTGCAGAAACGTCGCCGTTGCCCCCAGAATTCTGTTTGGCTACTGTTCGGCGGTAAAATTTAAAACTTTTGTAAATTCAAAATGGATGAAATTTTTGACACTCTCCTTTCGTCGTACGATGATGGTTTAATATCAGACGAGGAGCTTTTACTTCTCCAAGATTACTTATGTATATCGCCAAATAGGCACTCAAATTTCCCTTATCGGGATTATAATCCATTTGACTGGGAAAACCTTGACGAACTTACTTGCAAAGTTGAGTTTCGGTTTGACAAACAAGACATTCCAAGGTTGCAAGAAGCGCTTCAATTTCCAGAAATGATTTTCATCCCACATGCTACAGACTGTCCTGGATTGGAAGCTTTGTGCATATTGCTCAAAAGATTTGCTTACCCAGTGCGATACTGTGATATGGTTCCCATGTTTGGCCGATCAGTGCCTGAACTATGCAAGATTACTCAATATGCAATCAATCGTATTTACAACAACCATGGTTTCAGATTACAAAGCTGGAATCAACCATTTCTATCTCCAGAGAATCTGGAATCCTATGCAAATGCAATTCATGTCAAAGGTTCCCCTCTTCTAACATGCTTTGGTTTCATCGATGGCACAGTTCGGCCAATTTGTAGACCCAGTGTTAATCAAAGAATTGTTTACAATGGTCATAAGCGGCTACATGCCATCAAATTTCAGAGTATATGTATTCCGAATGGTCTGATAGCAAACCTGTCTGGACCATGGGGTGAGTTAGCACTTTTTTGACATTTATATTGCCAATAATCAGTACAATGATGTGTTCTGTTATAAATTGTTAATATATAAATTTTGAACAAAGTCATTCAATTCAATCATTTAGTTATATATTTTGTTTTGCTTTGCTTTAGAGGGAAGAATGCATGATGCACGTATACTTGGAGAGTCAGGCTTGATGCAAGACCTCAGGCAGCATACATTTGCACTAGACGGCACCCCATTATGTCTATATGGTGACTCAGCCTACCCATTGAGGGTCCACCTCCAGCAACCATTCCGAAATAATGCCGCATTAACAGAAGATATGAGGCAATATAACAAGGCAATGAGCAGTGTACGAGTCAGTGTGGAATGGTTATTTGGAGAAATAACCAAGTATTTTAAGTTTGTAGATTTTAAGCAACAACTTAAAATACGGTTAAGTCCCATTGGAAAAATTTACATTGTATCTGCCGTATTGCAAAATAGTTAGCTTGCTTGTATGGTAACATTGTATCAGAATATTTTGAAATCAACCCACCAACACTAGAAAACTACTTCTGGAGAGCTGATGCATAGTGTCCACATGTAATTAATGATAATACTCTATGAAACATAGTATATTGCAAGACAACAGTATAGTAACATTGCATTTGCGTGAAAGATATAATTATTGTTTATAAATTGGATCCATACAACCAGAATCAAAAGTAATTCAAAATTAAATTTTCTGAACCAATAACTTTTATTTTCAATTTACATATACAACTATAAAAATATCAATATAATAAAGTATAGCATGCAACTTGTCCTGTAAAATATCCAAACAAAATTCAAAGGCCAGAAGTAGCCTGTCCGTATTCAATAAACATGAAGAATGGTCAAACACATAAAGGAATGTACTTACAGTTCTTGTACAGTTAACGATTTTTTGCAAATTCAAGCAAAGTGTTCAACAAGTTTTGATTTTGTTGAGTTTGTGCTTCAAGCTCCTTGCTCCTTACTGCTAGCTCTTGCTTTCGAACTTCCAGTTCTTTAGTTTTATGTTCAAGCTCTTTATTTCTATACTCAATATCCTGATTCGCTTTATCTCTTAGAAATTTTACAATAGCTGTTTTCTTGGCTCTGAACGAATCGTTTCCTGATGCTTTTCTTTTTGCTGTTTCTCGAGCAGTTTCAAGTGCGACCAGTCTGACATCTTCTGCTTGACTTCTGTCCTCATCTTTAGCAGTTTTTTCCTTTTCTCGGTCCTCTTCTTGACTCTCAAAAAGAACAACAGCTTCCTCAATGGCGTTTTCAAGCTCACTTGGCTCATCGGTGCCAATGCCGGAAGCATTAATTTCCTCTCTCTCCTTCTTTTTGTATTTTTTTGCTAACAAGTTATAGCGATCGCGTACAGCCCTGATGTCCTTCAATTTGAAGACTATATCTGCTCTTGAATTTAAATTGTCGACGATTCTTTCCCAAACTAGTCCTATTCGCCTCGAACCTTTAGGATTATCAAAAGGACGTTCTGTTAAAATTTCTTTAATCAACTCGAGGTCATGTTGATCAGTCCACTTCATCGCTTTGATCATGACTTGAGATTTACTGCTAAACAACATAAAACTTGAGTTAAATTACCGAAAGTTGGTTTAACAGAATATCGTTTACGTAAAAAAGCTTACCTTTGCTTGTTCGTTTCGGCCATCATGCAGAAAAAGGCACAAAAACCAGACGTTGTCAGCACAACGCCAAATCACTCAAACTAGCGTTGTCGGGAGAACGCCAACGTCCAGACAACGTATATTCGTGACTTAATTATGATAATTATGTAAAATTATGCAAGTCCCAGGTCGCCGTCGCCACTTCCCGTCGCGTTCCCAAACTCTCTATTAACATGACACGAGGACCGAGGAAGAAGAAATCCTATTCAGAGCGCCAAATGTGGTCTCTTTAGACTCCTGGAAAAAGCCATCGAGCTATGGTTCCCCGAATGAGGCATAGTTTACGCTTAGAATTCCATCATGTGGATATTTCGACAAAAACATACCGATTTTCTCCGTATTTATTCAAATTTATACAAAACTGCAAATAACGAAATTTGCGTATTTATATACCTGTAGCGAACAACCGGAAATATGCTACGACCGGAAATAATTTTAATTGGCTGATATTCTGGGGGTGGAAAGCCCGTAGAGGCGAATTGTGTCAGGCTCTCTTCAATACCGAGGGCCTGATGCTCAGGTTACTATATACACGATCATTTTATTCTTTACATTTTTAGAATCGAAAACCCCCCAGAAAAATATCATTTTAATTGCAAAACTATCAATTTCCCAAATATATATGTTAGGTTATTATGCACATAAGATAATCAATTTAAGCAAAGTTGTAAATTGCGGTTAATGGAGTAGTATGTTCTAGAATACGGTGGCCCACAGGTGTCAATACATACACAAAATCGAATACCGAAACCAAAGTCAAAAACGTAATTCTAAACTTAAAACACTAGTCCAAATTATCAACTCATAATTCAAAATTGTCAACTCACAATTCAAAATTATCAACTCACAATTCAAAATTGTCAACTCACAGTTCAAAATTGTCAACTCACAATTCAAAATTGTCAACTCACAAATTAAAATTATCAAATCACAAATTAAAATTGTCAACTCACAAATTAAAATTGTCAACTCACAAATTAAAATTGTCAATTCACAATTCAAAATTGTCAACTCACAATTCAAAATTGTCAACTCAGAAATTAAAATTGTCAACTCACAAATTAAAAATTGTCAACTCACAAATTAAAAATTATCAACTCATTTGCCCAGACCACCAGGGGCGGCGGAACAGGGGGGGGGGGGGCTAGGGGGCCCCCCAGAAGTAAAAGTGGGGGGCTTAGCCCCCCCCAGAAAATTTGAATTTTTGGAAACAATTTTGATAATTAGGGAAAAATTTAGGTTATTTTTTGAAAATTTAGGTATAAGGGGACAAATTTGCAATATTTTGTTTAAAAAAAGTGTATTTCCGAAAAAATTTTTGGATATAAGTCCGAAAAAATTTTTTTCGTCCCTTTTTTTGTATATTGTACCCCTAAAGTGGTACACTGACCGAAATTTTTTTGGCGACGGGGGGGGGAGGTCGCCGAAAAAATTTAGCCCCCCCAGAACGAAATCTGTTCCGCCTCCGCTGCAGACCACCAGTGTTTTCGCGCACAATATGGCCGTACAGAATCTTTTGTGGCTGCGATTGTGGGATGTTTTGTTCAACATGCGGTTACAACTTAGAGGAAACGTTTAATTTTTGCCCAAATTGCGGTACAAGAACTGCACGTCCATCGGCGGAGGGTGAGGTAGATTCCACTACAGTGCATTCTGAAGCTGAGGGTGAGAAAGAAGCAATTGAAAGTTACTTCTTTGCAGGGTATGAATACGATACAATGCTATGTTTCCTAAGTAAGCATCATGGCATCACTATGTCATTGTCGACACTTAAAAGGCTTTTAAAGCAGTATGAACTAAAAAGAAAAACAGGCGACGAAGTAAGCGATAATGAGCTTATGGAGATTATTAGGAAAGAAATCGATGGGCCAAGCTGTGTTTCGGGATATAGAACATTATGGCACACTTTTCGTCTTAAATATAGAATGTGTGTTCCACGAGCTCGTGTGCAAGCATTGCTGAAGGAGATAGATCCTGTTGGAACAGAGCAACGGAAGCGTCATAGGCTGAAAAGAAGAGAATACAAATCTCCTGGACCAAACCAGTGCTGGCATGTTGACGGCTACGACAAACTGAAGCCATTTGGATTTCCACTACATGGCGCCATAGATGGTTATAGCCATCGCATGCTATGGTTGAAGGTTGCAAGAACTAATAGTGACCCAGCTGTGATTGCTAAATATTATCATGACTGCATCGAGGAGTTAGGTGGTTGCCCAAGAATTTTATCAACAGACCCTGGCACTGAAAATGTTGAAATAGCAACCTTGGAGTGTTATCTGAGAGGTGATGGTACAGATGACCTTGCCGGTGAAAAGGCGCATTGTTATGTTGCATCAACAGCAAATCAGCGAATTGAGTGCTGGTGGTCCAGTTTGAGACGAAGTCGTACACCATGGTGGATAAACTAGAGGTGTACATAAGTGGTAACATTTATCATAATGAATGTTTTTGGTTTTGTTTCAATGAAATTCTACAACAGGACTTAGATTTTTTCAGGGTTCATTGGAACACTCATTACATTCGTCAATCAAGACACGATACAATCGCAGGGAAACCTGACGAACTTTTTTTCTTGCCTGAAACCTTTGGAGGTGAAGACCAAATCACCGATGCACAACTGGAAGTGGTAGCTTCTCATTGTGAAGAGCCTATTGTGGATAATGATTACCAAAGTTACTTTAATTATGTTGTTGACCTTCAACAGCTGGCAAAACCGAGAAATTGGAAGGAATGCCTAAATTTGTTTGAACATTTACTGAATTACAACACCTAGTTTTTGAATCATTAGATCTGCTTAAAAAGACAGGAAAATAATTTATGCTAAGTAACATTGATTAATCAACAACAATTTATGGCATATACTATGTAATATGGTTGAATTTCTATATTACTTTTTTCTATTGTCATGTTATAGTAATAACCGCAGTTAATATGAAATTTACAACAACTAAATTGACGATGCACTATATTAATGCGAATTTTAAGAATTATCAATTAATTTGATGTGATCGCGAATTTCAGTTATCATTAATTAAAATTTGTTTTATTTAACACTAACTCTTTTAATATAAAAAATCAACATACAACGTAAACTAAAAACCTCAGTCTTCGTTACTCAATTCATTATCACAACCGCGATTCGTCAGTACCCTCATTGTCACTATTGTTATTAATTAACATTTTGTTTCTGTTGATGAAGATAAGATTCTCGTAAATATAATTAAATTTTAAAAACCCCAGAAGAAATTCGCGTTAATTAGATAATGTAAGTTTACGTCGCGTTAATAAAGTGCATCGTTAATTTCCTTCAAGGTAGATGTTACATCTTATGAACAAAAGTTATGCAAAACAACAATTAACATGTTGAGAAATCGCCAATTAAACACCCATGATAAAACAAGCTAGAATCTACAGATAAATCGCAATATAGAAAAATAAAATATATTCTATTCTGTGGTCCAATGCTCTGCCAACTGAGCTACGAGGCCAACAGTTCGAGCGTGTGGTATTTCGGAACTACGTCTAGTACCTTCGATACCAATGACCAATGTGTTCTATGATTATGATTTTAGCATTATATTACATTATATTCACCTGAGTACACAACATCAAAACACACGGCAAAAATACTTCATGTCTGCCTATTATTGTGTCCCGGCATGTTGATGAGTTGACAATTTTGAATTGTGAGTTGACAATTTTGAATTGTGAGTTGACAATTTTAATTTGTGAGTTGACAATTTTAATTTGTGAGTTGACAATTTTAATTTGTGAGTTGACAATTTTAATTTGTGAGTTGACAATTTTAATTTGTAAGTTGACAATTTTAATTTGTGAGTTGACAATTTTGAATTGTGAGTTGACAATTTTGAATTGTGAGTTGATAATTTTGAATTGTGAGTTGACAATTTTGAATTGTGAGTTGATAATTTTGAATTGTGAGTTGACAATTTTGAATTGTGAGTTGATAATTTGGACTAGTGTTTTAAGTTTAGAATTACGTTTTTGACTTTGGTTTCGGTATTCGATTTTGTGTATGTACTGACACATGTGGGCCACCGTACTAGAAGACTCCATTTTCCGGAGAGTGTTTTCAGTCTGCCAACACTTCTGCGTTACAAAAATAATCCGTATACAAGGTGCAAGTATCTCGGTAGAACAAGGGAATTATTTTCTAGTCCTCTTAATATTACAAAATATCAGATAAAAATCGAACTTTGGCTACTAAGCATGTGAACAAAAAAAGACAAGAAAAGACAATAACCATAGAATAGAAATTTCAATAAACGATCAAAATATTGAACAAGTTAATCAAACTACATTCCTCGGTGTTATTATTGACGAAAACGTAACATGGCATAATCATTTGAATCTGATCTACAAAAAGATTATGAAATCCACTGAGGTTATATCTAAGATTCGACATTTCACAAATTTAAACACTAGAAAACTACTTTACTATAGCTTAGTCTATCCATATCTTACTTATGGCAACTTGATATGGGGTAATACATATAAAAAGAGAATTCAAAAACTAATAAATATCCAAAAAAGATAATTAGGTTAATTACATTCAAATCATACACTGAACACACCGAGCCCCTCTTCAGAAACCTGGAGATATTGAACTTTGAAAATATAAATGATTACCTAATTTGTCTGTTTATGTTTCGATTTAATATCTCGAAAATTTACCGGAAGTATTTAGTAATTATTTCACCAGAAATGATGAAATTCACCATTATAACACAAGAACTTCATCACAACTTCATAAAAATATCAAGTCTTATACTACCTTCAAAAAGAAAATTAAAAAGCACCTACTACTCAATAATTAAGCACTGTAAATATAGCCATAATTTCTTACTCTTTCTACTTGTCTCTTGTATATTTGAGCATCAAATTATAGTCAATTTATACAAGTTCTTTTTTCAGCCACTGTTATACAACGAGGTGTAGTTCTGATTGCATAGCAATGTGTTGTAGCAAATTTAAGTTCTCCTGAAGACCTGAAGCAGTAATTTTTCAACTTTTTCCACATGACAAGCAATATTATCTGACAACCGTTTGTTCAAAGTCGATAGATTTCTTTATAATGCACATTAAACACTGTTCCAAACACATCATGCAAATGCCACTGGAGATCCATCATATATACATCCTTATACAGCTAGTAATCTGTAAAAGGAAAAGTTTACTTATATATTGAGAATGTAATCATCACTCTACAGTAAAACTAAGTATTATATGTAGTGTATACAGAAATATAAATGAATTTATTAGCGATTTTCAGCAACCTTTCGCGCTTGTATTCGACTTTTCTGCTTTGCTTGGGGGACAACCTTAATTGAAATAGCTATTATATATATACAAAATTGCAAGAACAATAGACCTGGAGACTTGCTTGCTAATCTGAGTCACTCCTCAGTTACCTAAGTTAACTCTTTAGATTAAAAAGCATAGACGGATTTTGTGGGGCGGGGGGTGCACTACCCCTCCCCCCAATATTAGCTATAACTCCTCCCCCAAACAAAATGACCACCCCTCCAAAAAACTATTTCAACACCCCCACCTCCAACATTCGGCATAATAAAAAATAATTAAATAGTCCACTCCAACATGCAGAGTGTTGATGATATAAAATAAACGTAGGAGTACACTCAAATAGAAAAAGACAGTGCATTCACTGGTTTATTGGAGCAATTGTAAAGTTTTGAAACTATATTATCTCCCCTGAATACAGTTTGCAGTGCCTTCTCATGCAAATACTTAGCTTGCTCGGAAGGAACATTTGGATTTTTTACAAACATTATTTTTAGTTTTTAATTCTTTTAGAAAATAGACTTGCCTAGATTTAATCTTTATGCCCCAATTATTATTTACATCGGAGTTGCATCATAAAATGTAATCGGATTCAAACGACACAATGTCAATGACTTTATAAAACTGGTAAAAGCATATTGTGTATTGGCCTATTAGGTTTACACTTTTACAGGTTCATTTAACTTTTAATTAACTCTCCCAAGTCTCATCAGACAATCGGACA